GAACCCAGACTGGGGTGTGTCCATCTGGAGGGACAGGGAATGAGGGACACAATCCCAACAGGAACCATGGGATCATCCCAGGGAATGAGGGACACAATCCCAACAGGAACCATGGGATCATCCCAGGGAATGAGGGACACAATTCCAACAGGAACCATCGGATCATCCCAGGGAATGAGGGACACAATCCCAATGGGAACTGTGGGATTATCCCAGGGAATGAGGGACACAATCCCAATGGGAACTGTGGGATTCTCCCAGGGAATGAGAGATACAATCCCAATGGGAGCTGTGGGATTCTCCCAGGGAATGAGGTACACAATCCCAATGGGAACTGTGGGATTATCCCAAATAATGAGGGACACAATCCCAATGGGAGCTGTGGGATTCTCCCAGGGAATGAGGGACACAATCCCAATGGGAACTGTGGGATTATCCCAGGGAATGAGGGACACAATTCCAGCCAGGAGCTGTGGGATTCTCCCAGGGAATGAGGGACACAATCCCAATGGGAACTGTGGGATTCTCCCAGGGCCCCGCCCGTGCTGCTGCCTGGCACTGAGCATCCAGCAGCGCTCCAAATCCAGTTTGCAGGAATTCACTGGGATTCCAGGCTCTGCAAAACACAAATATAAAGCCAGCCTCATTATTTTGTTGGGAATAGTGGGGCTTGGAATATTTTAAATCCATATCAAGCACAATGGTTGGTGCCCAAAATTCAGTATGAGGCACAGCTTGCATAAAAACTCCCATGGATTCAATCAAACATTCCAAGAAACAACAGCAGATCCCACATTCCCATTGCTTGTGTTCCAAATGGAGACCACGAGCTCCTCGGTTAACCCTTTGCATGCCTGGATTTTCCCTGGATGTCCAAAGGCTGGGGATCATGAGGAGGTTTCACAGCTGTGAAGCCATTCCCACTTTTCCTGCCTCTCCAGCTTCCCTGCAGCCTCTCCAGGGGGGTCTGAGGTGCCCAAACCTTCCTTTCTCCAGGGAAATATTCCCAATTTTCTCAGCCTCTTCTCTCCTACCTGGATATTGTTGAATTCCCTCTTTTTTGGATTCCCTATTCCTCATTTTTCTGCACTGATTTTTGTCTTTTTTTTTTTTTTTCTCCCACATGGACAAAATCCAAGCCCTATAAATCCACTGTGTAAACAGGAATATCCTTCCCTGAATGGGATTATTATTCCCAAAAAGCAAGCTGTCATTCCAAGAGGCAAAATCCTGTTTATTCTGGAGACACCAGCGCTGCTTACATAAAATCCAGACTAAATTAAAAGCTCCCATTTGGACCATTCCTGGACAGTTTGGGGCCAGTTTTCCAGGTTTTCAGACCCCCAAATGCTCTTTTTTCTTCAGTTTAGTCCCTGTTTTCCTCTCCACGTGTGGAAGCTCCTGGCTGCAGCCTCACCCCCTGTGGAAACAGAGCTGTGCCCACTCAAATTCCAGATTTTTTTGGCCTTGGAGAGCTTGGAGGAGCTGGGATCCAAAGGGTGCCCCATGGAGAGCTGGATCCTGCTCGGGATCACGCCAGGACAGCGGGAAAACTTTTTTAAAATAAAAATATTTTCATTAATAAAACCTGTTCTTTGTAATAATATTTTATTTATAAAACAATTTTATCCATAAAATATTCCACTCATGAAGTATTTTCCTTATAAAAATATTTTTCTTTTCAATTTTTGAATGTATTTATATTCAAAAATCCTTTTATTCATTATAAAAATCATCACCTGCTCATTTCCTTAAACTCCACCAACTCCAAACCATTCCTGACAAAACTCATCCGCCAAGGATTTTTTTCCCTTATTTATCCCAGCTCCACCCATGGATTTAAAGGTTGTTTTCCTTCTTTTATTTGGAAAAGCTGTTCCAGAGCTGTGTCAGCTTTTCCATGGAAACAGCCCCGCCTCTGCTCCAGGCTCAGAGCTGTGGGGAGCACTGGGAGCACTGGGAATTGGGGCAGAATGGGAATTTCTGGGAGCTCCAATGGATCGGGAAAACTCCAGGGAAGGGAATATTCAATCCTGGCATGGGAAAGGCACAGAGAGGGCAAAACTCCCCGTTCCCTCCTGGTGTTCCCAGGCTGATCCAAGATTCCCTTTTCCTTCTCATCCCTGCTGAAGGAATGATGCTGGAGCTGCCGTGGGATACCCGGACCTTCCACCCTGCTGCAATTCATGGGAAAGGAGGAAGAGGAAGAGGAAGAGGAAGAGGAAGAGGAAGAGGAAGAGGAAGAGGAAGAGGAAGAGGAAGAGGAAGAGGAAGAGGAAGAGGAAGAGGAAGAGGAAGAGGAAGAGGAATGGGAAAAGGAATGGGAAAAGGAATGGGAAAAGGAATGGGAAAAATGAATGGGAAAAAGAAATTCACAGCCCAAAGTGACTTTAAATAAATCCCCAAAGTGTTTTTCCCAAGGAAGGGACCGAGGGTGAGAAAGTGTGGGCATGAAAATCATGGAATTCTGGAATGGTTTGGGTTGGGAGGGGCCTTCAGGCTGATGCAGCTCCATGGGCAGGGATAATTCCCACCATCCCAGGGTGCTCCAAACCCAGCCCAGCCTGGCCTTGGGCACTGCCAGGGATCCAGGGGCAGCCCCAGCTGCTCTGGGAAATCCATTCCAGCCCCTCCCAGGGGAGAATTCCTTCCCCATATCCCATCTGCATCTCCCCTCTTTCACCTCAAAGCCATTCCTGCTTTTTCAGCTCATGCACAAATCCCAGAGATTTTATTGTGGCTTCGTTGTTTCCTTTTTTTCCTTTCTCCTGCTTAAAAAGATGCCGAAAACTCCCAAAGAAAAATTCTTTCCATGTGATCCCAGCACTTTCCCTCTTGGCTGGAACTCTGGATGTGGTTTTGGGTTCTGTGGTGGAGTTTTTTCATCCTTTTTTTTTTTTAATCCCATTTTTTTCACTTTTTATTTCCATCCCTGGGAGAGGCCCTGCAGAATTCCAGACTGGCAGCGAATCCCGAGGAAACCGGAGCGGGACAAAGGCTCAGGAGCTCAGCACAAGTTGGTGCAAGCAGAGAAAACCAGGGAAAAAATTCCTTTTGCCAAGGTTTCCTAAGGATCCAGCCTGACTTTCCGTGTTTCTCTTGGATCCCAGCACGGAAGCTGCAGCCTGGCTGGAGAGCTGCAGCAGCAGCAGCTGAGGAACAGCAAGGGAAGGAAAATCCCGGGATTCTGAGGGACCAGGTGAGTTACAGGGATCGGGATAAAGGAATGGGATCTCCTGTGGGAACATTCCCACCCTGCTGAGCAGATTCCTTGGGAAAAGCAGGAATTTGGGGGGTTTGGGAATGCTGGGCTGGCTTTAATTTGTCCCAGTTAAAATTCCCTGTCCCGTTATCCACCCTGCACGCCCCAGGACGGAGCTGGAGCTTTTCCCAGCGGGATGCTGCTCCCGGCGGGATGGGGATGGAAGGAGAAGGAAGGAGACTTCCAGGAGTCTCCACAGGCGTGGAAACTTCCAAGGAATTCGCTTCTCCAGCCCTTTGGAATGCGCTGCTCGCTCCGGGATGGGATCGGGATTCAGGCATCGCATCCTGGGGGGAAAAATCCCACCCGGGAGTCTCTGCAGGGACAACCCCGAATTCTCGCTGATTTCCCAAGACTGGCAAATCCCGGGAAAGCTGCTTCTCCATCGGGAAGGGTGAAGGAGGGATCGCTTCCATCGGGGGGTTTGTCCTGCGGGAGAAGCTGCCCTGGGAATGACTTTTACTGTAATTCCTGCTGAATCACCGCCTGGGCTGGCTCGGGAGCCGGGAATTCTGCCAGGGAGCCGCCCAGCCTGGAGCAGGGACAATTCCAGGACACTGCAGGAGTCAGAGGTGCGGGCAGGGACACGGAGAAGGAGAGAGGGAAGAGCTGTTCCTTGGGAATCGGGAACATCCTCCCGCTCCCTGTCCGTGCTCCCTGTGGAATTACAAACCTCCTCCTGCTCCCTGTCCGTGCTCCCTGTGGAATTACAAACCTCCTCCTGCTCCCTGTCCGTGTTCCTTGGGAATCAGGATCATCCTCCTGCTCCCTGTCCCAGTGCAGGGTGGAATCCTGGGATAAAGAGAAAGAAAAAGGGAAAAGCTCTTCCCTTGGGAATCACAAACCCCCTTCTGCTCTCTGTCCGTGTTCCCTTGGGAATGAGGAACCTCCTCCTGCTAGGGCAGGATGGAACCTTGGGAATTTGCAGGAATCCAGGAGTGTTTCCATCCAGGCACAGCCTCTCCTCCTGCAGCACCGCCATGGAATTGTGTTAAATCCATCCAAACCTCCCTTGGTGCAGGGATATTTCCTTGGGAACCTCGTCTCTTCCCATTCCTGGTGAATTCCTGGTGAATTCCCAGCAGGCGAGCACCCCAGTGGTTGCTGCTCAGGGCTGGCTCCTCCCAGGATGGAGGAATTCAGGGAATCACCCCCAGTTGAAACAAGCCCAGGCTAAAAAACATCAGGAATTTAAAAATACACTGGATAATTGCAAAATGAGCTGCAAATTCCCAGACAAATGTTCACTGCAAATCCAGCTGCAGCTGCACTCCTGGATCTCTCCATGGCTGGATCCATTTTTCCCTCCATTCCTGCCTCTCTCAGCTCCAGCAGCACATCCAGCCTCACTGCAAATCCAGCTGCAGCTGCACTCCTGGATCTCTCCATGGCTGGATCCTGTTTTTCCCTCCATTCCTGCCTCTCTCACAGCTCCAGCAGCACATCCAGCCCCTCTTCTCCATCATCCCAGGGTTGGATAAACACCCCGGACAAGGACCTCGCTCATCCTCCAACCACGACAGGCAGTGGGAATTCCTAACCCACTTCCTTTTTGGGATGCAAATATTCCTGCCTGGGAGTTCTCAAATCACTTCTGCCACAGCTCAGCTCCTGCAGGATCTCTGGGATATTTTATCTGACAGGAGCTGCCGGAGCTCGGCACCAAAATCCAGCAGCATTTTCCTTGGAAAACGCACAAAATCCTCCAGTGTTCTGGGCTTTTCCACAGGGAGCTGCCCACTAAGAAATTTTAGATCCTCCTGGGGGAGAAAATAAAACAAATCCCGGGAAATCCTTTCCAAGAGGAAGCGCAGTGTGGGACAATCCCAGCCCTGAGGATGCCTCGTTTCCTGCTGCTCCCCTTCCAAGGAGCTCCAGAGCCCTGAGGAGCTTCAGGCTGGACAGAAGATAAAAGGTAAAAAGGCACAACTGGAATGTTTTCCATGTTTCTGGAATGGTGCTGAGCTTCGGGGCTGGCACATCCGTGAGTTTTCCATCAAGGTTTTGGGTTTAACTGTGGGGTTTTAATCGAGGTTTGTCCTAAATTAAAAGGGGCAGTGCCTGGTGTTGTCCATGAATTTAAAACAAGGATTGTTATGGATTTCTGTTCCAAGGGAAGCCCTGGGAATAACCCCAGGAAGGAAAACATCAGCAGGAATTCAGAGAGTGGCTCAGGGAGTCCTGGAATTCCTGAGGTTGGAAAAATTCTCCAAGATCATCAAGTCCATCCTGGGCAGGTTTTTAGGATTTTCTGCCCATTTAATCTTCCTGTGCTTCCATTTCCAGCTGGAAACTCAAAGATGACTTTAAAAATTAATGGAAATGAAAAAGGATTTAATAACATGGAATTCAAGCAATGAATGCTGATGGGAAAGGGGGATTGATCCCTCCTCCAGCTGCCACTGGAATGAGGTACAACTACAAATGCAAAGGATTTCAGGAAAGAACATTCCCTGCTCTCAGAGGCAAAGTCATTATTTTCCTGCTAATGAAGATTTCTTGGATTTCCAGGAAGCTGGAACAGTGTGACGGACACTTTATTTGCAGCAGGGAAGAATGGGAAGAAAACATTTCCCAGGAATGCTGCTCCAATCCCACTTCTGACAGGTTTTTCCTCCTTTTTTCCCCACCTGGCTCATTTTATTCCCAAGGAAGCAGCTCCAAGGCTGGAATTTTTCCCTCCTTCCCTCCCTCTGGGTGTCCATGGAATGAAATCCATGAAATCCATGAATCCTGGATTTTCAATGGAATCCAGGCCATCCACCCCTTCCCGACCTGTTCCAGGAATTCCAGCTGGTGGAAGAGGAGCCATTCCCAGCCCAGGGTCAGCCCGAGTCCATCTCACTAATTGGACTTTGGAGAAGATCCACGGAGGCATCGATCCAAGAAATCTGTCCTGGATGAGGCTCCACTGCAATCAGTGCAATGACACTAATTACACATGGAATGGGAATGAGTGGCCAGTCTCCAGCTCCAATCCTTCCCTGGGAACAGGTCAGTGAGGAGCCAGAGAAAATTTCTCTTCTTTTCACCTGTTCCTAGGGAGGGGTTGGAGCTGATTCTGGGATAAATCCAGAGGAAAAATGCCTTTGATGTGGAAAATCGAGGAATTTTCTCTGGCTCTTCACTGACCTGTTCTTAGGGAAGGATTCAGCTGAATCTGGGAGAAATCCAGGGAAAAAATACCTCAGATGGAGAAAAAGAGGAATTTTCTCCCCAGATTTCTCCAAGAATCAGCTCAAATTTTCCTTAGGAACAGGTAAATGAGGAGCCAGAGAAAATTCCTCTTTTTCCCCCATGTGAGCCAATTCTTTCCCTTGGATTTCTCCCAGTATCAGATGAAAATCAGACAGATGAAAATCTAACCAAGGATTGCCAAACCCCAGGGTTTGTGCCGAGCAAATCCACTTTAGTGCAGCTCTTTGGGTTTCCATTCCACACATGGGAAACTCAAACTGGAAAATACACACAGGAATTCCGATTGGAAGAGAATATGGGAATGGATAAACCATGGAAAGAAGTCACCAGCAAGAAGCTGCCAGAGAACATTTAAAGATAGAAATGCTTTTGATTTTTGTTGCTTTTGTTTTTCTTCTGGGATTTTTGTCCCCAAAAAAATCAGGTTTCGGCTCTATATTTAAATAAAATTCCATATTTTTTCCTTAATTTTGAATTTTTTGGGATACTGAGGCACCAAGCAAACCAACAGAATATCACTTTTGTCTTTTCCCTAGCAATTTCCTGTAGCGGTTGTTCCAAGAGCTTTTCCAGCCGAGCTTCTGCTCCCAGCAGGTTTTGTTTGGCTTGGGATTTTTTTCCCCCCCGTCCTTTTGTTGACCTGGTGTCTCTCAGCATCTGTCACAGGTAATGCCAGCCAGGAATCGCCTTTCCCAGCGCTCCGAGGGGCACCGTTCCCACCCGGAGTCTCCCGGTGCCACTCCAGGATCCGTTAATCATTAACCCCAAGGAAAGCACTGGCCAGGTGGCCCTGATTGGGATCGCCCCGTTAATGGTTTGTGTTCCCTCTCCTCCCCAGCTGCTCCCGAGGGAGGATGAGCGCCGTGATCCTGCTGCTCCTGCTTTCCGCCGGGAATGGCGCGTCCCAGCCGGAGAAGGCGCTGCCCCGGCGGCGCCTGGCGTGCGTGAGGTGCTGCGGGCCCTCGGAGCAGCCCGTGTCCATCTTCTCCCAAAGGTCTGCCAGGATGAGCGCCCAGCCAGAATATTCCGTGCCCAAAATCCAGCCCACCATCGACATCACCATCCTCAAAGGTGGGTGGGTGTTGCTGGCTCCCGGCCTTCTCCTTGCTGCTCTTCCTTGGTGCTTCCCAACAGCAGAACTCGGCCTGAAATTCAAGAACAAAAGCAAGGGGCGCCCAAAAGTGCCCAAAATCAGGACAAGGGGTGCCCAAAATGTGGTTGTGCCCAAAACGAGGTAAAGGCGTGCCCAAAATGTGGTTGTGTCCAAAGGTGCGCAAAATAAAATCAAGGGGTGCCCCAAATGTGCCCCAAAGTGCCAAAACAAGGTCAAGGGGTGTCCAAAAGTGTGCCCAAGCAAAGGTCAAGGGGTGCCCAAAATGTGGTTTTGCCCAAAATGTACCCAAAATAAAGTCAAGTGGACTACAAAATGTGCCCACCCAAAATGTGGTGGTGCCCAAAATAAAATCAAGGGGTCCACAAAATATGGTTGTGCCCAAATGTGTCCAAAACCAGGTCAAGGGGTCCCCAAAATATAGTGGTGCCCAAACATGGCCCAAAGTTAATCCTTCTAGGAATTGGGCAGCTGCTGATATCTGATTGATATTCCTGGTTAATCCTTCTGGGAATTGGGAAGGTGCTGATATCTGATTGATATTCCTGGTTAATCCTTCTGGGAATTGGGCAGCTGCTGATATCTGATTGATATTCCTGGTTAATCCTTCCGGGAATTGGGAAGGTGCTGATATCTGATTGATATTCCTGGGTTAAACCTTCAGAGGAAGGGGAAGGTGCTGATATCTGACCGATACTCCCAGGCTGGGCAAGCATTGCCCCAGCAGCTCCTCTGCTGCCTGTCTCCATGCCATTCCTGGAACCTGAACTCCCCATCCTTGTGTTTCCCCGCTTTTCCCTCCCCCTGGCAGGCGAGAAGGGCGAGATGGGCGAGCGGGGACTCCCGGGAGCAGCCGGCAAGGCCGGGGAGCGAGGATCCCGCGGGCTGAGCGGCCGCAAGGGCCAGAAGGGCCAGCCCGGGCCCCAGGGCCACTCCTGCAAGCAGCTCTTCGCCGCCTTCTCCGTGGGCCGCCGCAAGGCCCTGCACAGCTCCGACTACTTCCAGCACGTCACCTTCGACACGGAATTCGTCAACCTCTACCAGCACTTCAACATGTTCACCGGGAAGTTCTTCTGCTACGTCCCTGGGATTTACTACTTCAGCCTCAACGTGCACACCTGGAATTTCAAGGAGACCTACGTGCACCTGATGAGGAACGAGCAGGCCGTGGCCATCCTGTACGCCCAGCCCAGCGACAGGAGCATCATGCAGAGCCAGAGCCTGATGCTGGATCTGCAGGAAGGGGATGAGGTTTGGGTCAGGATGTTCAAGAGGGAGAGGGAAAACGCCATTTACAGCGAGGAGTCGGATGTGTACATCATCTTCAACGGGCACCTGATCAAACCCGCCCTGGAGTAGGAGCTCCTGGGCTCCAGGGAAAAGCTTTGGGCCATCCAGCAGTGTCTGCCCTCTAGAAGTGCATCTCTAATTCCATCTGGAATGGTTGTAGCCCTGGAAGAGTTGTTTTTCCACACCTGTGTGGGTCCAAGCTGCTCAAGGATTCCAGAAGGTTCCCAGCTCCCCTTGTGGCCCCTCAGGAGCATCTCTGGAGTTTGTCCATTTGACAGCAAAAATTTCCCTTCTTTCTCTGCATGTCCCACTCCATTTGGAATATTTGCAGCCCTTGGAAGGGTGGTTTTTCCACTCTTTTATGGATGGAGGGAACTGTTCCAACTGCACAAGAATTCCAGAAGTTTTCCAACTCTCTGTGTAACCCCTCAGGAAAATCCCTGAACAGTTCCCAAGTTGGCAGCAAAAATTTCCCTTCTTTCCCCGCATCTCCCATTCCATTTGGAATATTTGCCACCCCTGGAAGGGTGGCTTTCCACCCCTGTGTGGACAAAGGTGGCTCTTCCACCTGCACAAAAATTCCAGAAGGTTCCCAGGCCCCTCAGGAACACCCCTGAAGAGTTTGCCAAGTTGACAGCAGAAATTCCACCTTGCTCTGCATCTCCTGTCCCATTTGGAATATTTGAAGAGTGGTTTTCCACCCCTTTGTGGATGGAGGGAACTGTTCCACCTGCACAAAAATTCCAGAAGATTCCCAGCTCCCTGTGTAGCCCCTCAGGAACATCCCCAAAAATTTGCCAAGTTGGCAGCAGAATTTCCCTCCTTTGCTGTGCTTTAGATAAGGAATTACAATAATTAGGATATAATTATGATAAAATAATCATCCTTAAGGACCAGAGTGATTATCCAGGTGCTAATTAAGGAATTTTGTTATTCCTACAAAAATCTTGGCTAATTAGAGCCACCCTCCTCATCAGCACAATGTTGGCTCCTCTCAGGCAAGAATTTTGGCATTAAAATCAATATTTTGCACAGGAATTAATCCCAAATTCCGGGTTGGTTCCATTCTGTGTCACATTCCATGGTTCCAGCAGAATGGTGGAATTACAGCAATAACAGCAGATGGATTCAGGAAAGCTTTTCCAGGGAAACAGAGCTCGGTACAACCACAAGCTCCAGAGAAAAACTTCCCAGAAGAACACCCAGCCTGCCTGGGAATGTGCTTCCCAACTGAACAACGTGCTGGGAATTTGGGATTTGCCAAGCTGGCATTTCAGGCTGTGCTCCCATCTGGACATTCCCATTCTGGAGCATCATCATTTCTGGAAAATGGAGGAAAAACTGGAAAGAAAATGGTTTGGGGTTTTTGTTTGTTTGTTTGTTTGTTTTGGTTGGTTTTTTTAGGGATTTGTGGTTTCTGGAAAATGGAGGAAAAACTGGAAAGAAAATGGTTTGGGGTGGTTTTTTGTTTGTTTGTTTGTTTGTTTTGGTTGGGTTTTTTTAGGGATTTGTGGTTTTTTTCCTCAGAAATTACTGACTTGGAGCACCATAATTTCTGGGAAATGGAGGAAAATTGGGAAAGAAAAGTGAGTTTTTCTTCAAGCAGTGATTTTCAGGGATTTGGGGGTGTTTTTCTCAGAAATCACCATCTTATGGCACCATCATTTATGGAAAGTGGAGGAAAAACTGGAAAGAAAAATGAGCTTTTCTTCAAGGAGGGATTTTTAGGGATTTGGGGTTTTTTTCCTAAAAAATGATGCATAGAACCATGGTGCATGCAGCAAAACCTCATCATTTTATCCCATTCCTTCTTTTCCTTTCTCCCAGTCTCTCGTTTGCTTCCCAAACCTTTTGTAAAAGGAATCCAGGGAAATTCTTACCAGGAAAACTCTTCCATGGATCTCACCTTCCCCAGCTTTGGGAAAAGTAGCTGAAATAAAGATTTTGCTTTCTGTACCTGGGGTTGTTTCTCTCTTTTCCACAAGTTTTTTCCATAAGTTTTTCTGCATTCCCTGGCTAAAAGCACCACACTGCCCCTGGAAAAGTCTCTGGGGGCAATTTTAGCTCCTGTAATCCAAAAAACTCCCAAAAGGAAGCTCTCACCAGCTCCTTTTCCTATAAATAAATCCCAAATCTTCAAGATCTCCCAAATTTGCTGAAAATAGGGACTTTTGAGTAGAAAACTCCAGATAAAAATGGATCCCAAACCTTGAAGCCTCGAGTGTGCTCTGGCTTCCCTCAACCTGCATCCTGAAAAGGAAACCTGGGAAATTTCCATGATTTTAAAGCCACATTGGAGAGCTCCATATCTTTTTCCCTCCTTTTCCTATTTCTAATCCCATCCCTAGGTTGGAAAAAGAATTCTCAGGCTGGCAGGAGCTCTGTGGTGGAGCAGGAGCATTCCCAGCTGCTCTGGAATTCTTCATTCCTCACAGATCCAGCAGTTTTCCACAATTTTGGCTCTTTCCCATTCCCTGTTTGCTGCACTGACTAAAATTACAATTAAAAATTCCCTGATTATTTCCAGGGCTGGAAAAACCACACCCAGAACGTTTTCAATCCACAGAATTCCAGAGAAATCCCTTTGTCCTGGGAAGCAGCAAAAAATCCATCATTTTTATCCCTGAATAAACTCATCTCCAGGAGGGATATTTGGATTTTGGAGCTCTCATGACTCATCCCAGTGCCAGGAGCAGGGGAATCATTAAATCCACGTCAATTCCAGTGGCACAACGACCTTTCCAAGCATCCAAAGGGATCCACAGGATCCAAATTATCCCTAATGGCCTAAAAACCACCAGGAATCTCAACCTGCCAAGGTTTTTGGGGAAAAACTGGAATATGTAAAAGCTGAATGTTCCCACATTTAAATCACTTTTCCAGGCTTGGACACCTCTAAAATCCAACTTCAACCTCCCCTGCTCTGCTTGTTGAGCTCCCTCTATCCCAGGAATGCCACAATCCCTCATTCCCATCTCCTCCCAGCCTGTTTGGGGAATAAAGAAGGAAATCTTGAAATCTGCATCAGTTCCAGGGGCAAAATCCAGAGAGTGTCCACAAGATCCAGATGGCCTAAAAACCACCAGGAATCTCAGCCTGCTGAGGTTTTCTGGGAATTAAATCTCTAAAAGCTGAATGTCCAAAGATTTTCCCACTGCCACCTTTTAAAATCCCTTTCCCAGGCTGGAATCCCTAAAATCCAAGTGAAACCTCCTCTGCTCTGTGTTGTTCCGCTCCCTCTATCCCAGGAATGCCACAATCCCTCCTTCCCATCTCCTCCCAGCCTGTTTTGGGGACAAAGAGCCTGTTTGGGTGTGGTTCTGTCCCTCTGGATGGATTTTTCTCGGGAATAACAACAGGCACGGGTGCCTTGGGCAAACTCTTCCCTTCCTCTCCAGGAGGAAACTTTGGATTTACGACAGGAACGAGATAACATCGAGGCCGATAAGGAAACCAGGCAACAAATCAGGCTAATGGATTGCCTCTGGATGAGTGGAATAGGATTTAATGACTCCAGCAAGGATCTATCCCACCCCAAGGATTGGGAGAAAATGCAGGAGATGGGAGGGGGAAAGTGGGAAAACAAACAGAGAGCGCTTCCAAGCCAGGGAGCAATCCTGGCTAAAAGCTCCGATGGAGACTTTGGCCTTCCACACCCTCCCTAGACAGGCTGGGAATGGCAATTCCTAAACCTGGACAGGCTGGGAATGGCAATTCCCAAATCTGGACAGGCTGGGAATGGCAATTCCTAAACCCAGAACAGGTTGGGAATGTCAATTCCCAAACAGAGAACAGGCTGGGAATGGCAATTTCCAAACCTTGGGCAGACTGGGAATGGCAATTCCCAATCCCTGCACAGGCTGGGAATGGCAATTCCCAAACGTGGACAGGCTGGGAAAGGCAATTCCCAAACGTGGACAGGCTGGAATCTCTATCCTTCCCTGGAATGAGAGGTGGGATTCATTTTGGGGTTCCCTGTTCCTGCTCCCTGCTCTGTTGCTGTAAATCCTGAGGATTCCTCATTCTCCTGACTTTCCAGAGCAGTTTTATTTTTCCTGGCAAGATCCAGGTTGCAGCACCTGGAAAATCCATGTGCTGTCTAACATCAGCACCTTCTCCTTGCTTAATTTTGGGAGATTTCCTGTTCTCTCCCGGGTTTTTCAGTAAAATCCCTAGGATTTGGATGTGAAGGGCCTTCCTGTGAGGAAAATTCTGGATTTGTGTCCTTGCAGAGATGTGGGAAGAGGTTCATCCCCTCAGGAATGGGCAAACAGGGAGATGAGCTGGATCCCTGGGACGAGGAGGGATTTTCTTCCCTGTTCCCAAAGCTGTGGATGTTCCCTCCCCAGCTGCATTTTGTATTCCAGCCAAAAGCTGCTGCAGAGATTTGGGCACCCAACAATTCCTGCCAGACATTGGGAATGACAGCCTAATGCTATTTCCAGGGAAAATCACATTAAAATCAGCTCTCCAAGGAATTGCTTCCTCTCTGGATTGTTCTGGAAGCAAATCCCTCTCTGCTGGCTCCAGGCTGGAATGCTGCAATCTCAGCCACCCCAAGGCCATTTCAGGACTGAAATTCCACGTGCAGGAAACTGAGGAATTGCCACTGGATTTGGGGTTTTGCTGATCCAAAACCCAGCACAGAGCCTGTAAATTCCCAGGGGATCACATTGGAATTGTCTCCCTTTTTCCATGCAAGGAAGAACCCAAAACAATTCGTCCACCAGATCATTTCTCCCTGATTTTCTGGTTTTTCATCCCTTTGAAGTCAGAATCCTGAATTTTTCCAGGACGGAAAAGACACCTGGACAGGGATGGGCTCAGTGCTGCCAGAGATCTTTTCCCCCCTCAGTGATCCTGTGATTCCAGGGATGCAGAACCCTCCATTCCCATTTCCTGCCTGTGTCTGCGTGGCCCAGCTCAGCTCCCAGGTTTTTATCAGGTCAGAAATCCACAGATCTGCTTTTCCCTCCCTGAAAACGTGCTGGAAAAATCCAAAACACCATCGAGTGCCATGAATTAATTCCATGGAAATGCTTCTGATTCCTGTCAGGAGCCAGGCACAGACACGCCAGGAAATAAAAGAATTCCAAGTGTGGGATGGGGGCCCGTCAGCCCTGTCTGGCACCCGGCATATGGGGCTGGAATCTGTGGAAAAACGGGACAGGGATGCAAACAGGATGCTCTCATTAATTCTGGGAATGCATAATTAATTAATTACCCTGCCCAGGGGAGCTGCTGTCACCACGGCTCCCGGAGCCAGCGCTTCTCCTCCGGTGAAGCGGGAATTGTGTATGGGATTTGTGCTGCCTGGCTCTTGGAATTGGGAATTGTGCAGGAATTGTGTATGGGATTTGTGCTGCCTGGCTCTTGGAATTGGGAATTGTGCAGGAATTGTGTATGGGATTTGTGCTGCCTGGCTCTTGGAATTGGGAATTGTGTATGGGATTTGTCCTGCCTGGCTCTGTTGTTCCTCCTGGATGCAGGAATTGTGTCCAGGACTGCTGCCCCATCCCTGGAAGTGTCCAAGGCCAGAGCTTGGAGCACCCTGGGACAGAGGAAATTGGTCCTGCTCTTGGGGAATGGGATGAGCTTTAAATCCCTCCCAATCCAGAGCATTCCATGATTCTTTGTTTTGCTAGGAAAAGCCAGGAGTGCAGAAATTCATTGAGGCCTTGGAGGGGTTTTTATTCTTTATGTTTTTCCACCAGATCCTCCAGAGAAAACCGTGGTGGGATTCACCTCTGGAGCAGGGAGGGGAAAAGCCCCAAATCTCCCTCTGGAATATGAAATAAGGATCCTCTGGAGCAGGGGGGGCTGTAATCCTGGATCTCCCATCCCAGAGGGATGCACCAGGATTATAAACCCCAAATGCAGCCAGCAGAGGTGATCCATGGAAGGTGAAGGGAAAACTCTTCCCTGATAATTCCCAGGACACTGCACTTCCAGGCCTGGGCTGTGTTTGCATCCAGGGCCAAATCCCCACAGAAATTCCTGCATTATCTCCCACCCCCACAGACCAGGGTTGTTCATTCCCAGCTTTTTCCAAGGGCTGCTGCTTTTCCCGTTGGGAAAGCACAGCGGGTTCATCCCAGGCTGAGGGAGTGGGATGCATCCAGCCTTTGGGATGACTCCTGGCTCGAGGTCAGGAACGGGATCCGGGGCTTAAAGGCTCAGGAGCAGGGAGCCAGCAGGGACAGCTTCACCTGCCGTGACTTTCCAGGGAATGATGGGCAGATAGGGAGGATTAAGTGTGAAAGGGAGAGGGAACACAGAAACCCCGGAGCGCCGCCCATCCCATGGCAACAGCGCCGGATTTCCATGGAGTTCTCCAAACAACGCCCAAAAGGGTGGGAATGGAGGATCCAGGAACACCAGGAGCAGGGTGAGGTGAGCAGCTGAGGCATCCCAGGTGAGCCAGGGGCTGGAGCTGGAGAAAATATCCTGGGAATAAATCTGGGGATGAAATCAGCCGCTCCTGCCTCGGCTGCAGTTCCAAGGAGCAGGGACAGGCATTGGAAATTGGGATTTGTAGGATTTAAGGATGCTGCTGGTGGATCAAGGCTGGGCCAGGACTTTGTGCTGCAGGGAATGTTTGGATCCCAGGGATAATTCCAGTCCCGGAACCTCAGGGAACAGAGAGCTTGGAGTTTAACAGAGGGAAGGTGCAAAAATTCCATGTGTGCCCTGCTCTTACTCCAGTATCAAGCCACTGATAAATCCCAGGATAAATTCCACACTTAAATCCCGGGATAAATTCCACACCTCAGGCACTTTCCTGGATTTTTCCTCCCTTGGGGAGCAGCCAGGAGAGATCCCAAAGCCAGAGGATTCCATGGTGACCCTGCTGAAACCCAGGAAGTGCCCATGAATCCCAAACCCTCTGGGATGCCCACCTGGAATCTGCCCTTTGGAATTGCCATCTCCTAATGCCACTTGTCCAAACTGAATCCATGATTTCCCCCCTCAATTAAACCCATTTTTCATGGAATAAAAAGTGAATCCCTGAAGGAAGCTGCTCCTGTATCCCAAAAGTTGCTTGGTGGATTTTTCCACACAACCTTCCTTCCCATCCTTTGGTATCCAGCAGCTGGAATTCCCTTTATTGCATGGATCTCATTGAATATTCATAGCTGGAGCCTGAACCAGAAATCCCAGTTTATTTTTTATTTATTATTTTATTTCATTTTTATTTTATCCAAATGATTTTTCCACCTCCTGAAGGTCAGGTAGGCACCAGGCAAATTTTCCATGATCTTCCCGTGGGTTTGTTGTTTTTTTTCCAGCAGAGCAGAGCCAACATTTGGAATCCTTGGATGAATCAAAGGAAAAGCTGAATAAGCTGGAATTTGGAAGGATTGTCTGTCGAGATATTAAAAATGTCACTCAATCGCTGGGGCTGAGGGATTAGGGCTGGAATGTGTGGAGAAAAAAGGGATCTGGGGAGTGTCGGTGCTGTCTGGAGCCTCCTGGGGAGGGCTGGCTGGGAGGACAGATTTTCCAGGGAGTTTGTCAGTCTTTGTGGAAGGATGACATGTTTTGATGGAATGTGTGCAGGGAGGTTGGCAGCTCAGCTGGCTCCTCAAAATTCCACTGCCAAGCTGCCAGGAGAAGCCCAGGATCGGCGTTTGGGGTTCAGGGAAAAGCCAGCAGAGCTTCCTAAGGCACCGAGCAGGTCTGGGGAAAGATTTTTTGGGATGGGGAGGGAATCCCTTGGAGCAAAGGCTGAGTGGCACTGGAGAGATGATCTGCAGGAGCTGCTCCCAGAAAAAAAATTCCTTGGGTCAGGAAAAAAATAAACTCCTGCAAAGCAGCATTCCCATGGCACTGAATTCGCCAGGGAGCTGCTGGTTGGAATTTTTCTGGGAACTGGGGCATTGAAAGCTTTCCTAAATTTGCTCCTTAAATATGATGGATTTCAGCATTCCCAACGGGAATGCTGGATGGGCTGGCTGGAATTTCTGTTTTCTGGGAATTGGGATCCCCAGTCCTGATCCAGGGGGTGGGAAAAGATGTGGGATCAGCCTGGGGCGGGTGGAAAACAAGGCCCAGGTTTATCCACCTCTTTTCCCCTCAGATAAAACTTCCCTTGCTTAATTCCAAGGATTTGATCAAACTCCATGGAAGGAAGGGACAAATGCTCTTTGCTCTGCTCAAAACAGGGTTTAGCTCCTTCCCAGAAATCTGAATTTATTAAAATCCTTTTTCTTTCCAAAGCAGATTTTCCTGCCCCAACCTTGAGCTTTCCAGTCATTTCCCACTCCAGAGCTTCCAGGAGGGATCATTTCAGGTGGAAAACTGAGGGAATCACAGCCCAGCTCACACCAAACCAATGGGAAAAGTTAATTTTATTAATTAATCAGCTAAACCTGGCTGTGCTGGGATTTGGAATGTGGGCACTGCCTGCTACTGGGAGAAACCTGGGAGTAAATTACTCATGGTCCCAGCCAGGCTCTGGGTGCATCCTGTGATTTCCTGGCTTTGGGAATGTGAGTGTCACATCCAACAGAATAAATGGAATGATGGAATCATTAAAGTTGGGAAAAACCTCCAGGATTGACAAACACCCCCTGGAAACTGCACCAGTCAGCAGGATTGAGCTGGGTTTAATTTCTGAAAACAGTTTTGAGTTCAGACTTACACTCAGACAGGACTGAGCTGGGTTTAGTGTCTGAAATCACAGCTTTGAGCCCAGATTTACACTCAGAGGGGATTGAGCTGGGTTTAATTTCTGAAATCACAGCTTTAAGTCCAGATTTACACTCAGAACCAAGGAATGGACACAAAATCCCCCCAGGACCCCACAGCCATCAGCACTGACATCACAACAACGGGGTCACAGCACATTTCATGGGGTGGGAAGGTGGAAATGTCATGGCTACATTGATTCCTTTCCACAATGTTTTCATTTCCACTGGTTTTTTATCCTTTCTGGCTGTGTTTGAAGGGTTCCTGGCTGTGCTGGCTCCCTGGGATGGGTTCATGGCAGGAAAACAAAGCAAAGGCAGCACGCAGCACATCAGAACCCATTTCCAGAGCAGTGCTGGTGCCTTTTTTGCATGAAACTCTGAAGAAATCTCATTTTCCTTTCAGAAATCCCCTTGAAGAATTCCCAAAGATCCCAGCTGAGCTGTTTGCTGCTCAGAGCTGATCCCAGCAGTGCAAAGCAGCCTTAAACCAAGCTTAACGAGGGAATTGAACTGGCTTAGTGTTGATTTGCATCACTAAAGGGGTACGAAGCCTGGAAATCATTCCCTGGAGGACCCAAAGTGGTCCCAGACATCAAATCCATCAGGACACCACGAGAGCTTGGCACTTCCAGCTGGGAAAAGCAGGGAAGAGCCCTCTGTGTACATTGCTGGGAGCTTCTGGGGTTCCACATTTTCCTTTTGCATGAACTGAGCTCTCCTTGAAGTCCCCAAGTCCTCCAGGGACTCTGCAGTGCCAGGCCCTGCCCTCCTTGAAGTCCCCAAGTCCTCCAGGGACTCTGCAGTGCCGGGCCGTGCCCTCAGACCTTGCTGGTCTGCATGTGCCCGTTGAACTCCGCGTTCCTCTGGGTCAGCATGGACTCCTGCAGGCGGCTGCTGTTCTCCTGCCTGTGCTCCACGGGGTCTCCGTCCTCCGCTCCGTCGCCCTTCCGGAGGCAGAGAACCTTCTGGAAGCTCTGCTTGAAGTTGTCGGAGAGGAAGCCGTAGAGGATGGGGTTGGCGCAGCTGTTGGCGTAGGACAGCACCACCATGAAGAAGTAGAGCCCCTCCAGGACGGGGTCGGCCGGCAGGATGAGGATCAGGTTGACGATGTTCATGGTGTAGAAGGGCAGCCAGCAGAACACGAAGACCACCACGATGATCACCACCATCCTGGTGACCTTCCGCTCCGACCTGCGGCGCCGCGTGGAGCCCACGCGGATCCCCGAGGACTTCACCTTGACCACGATCAGCAGGTAGCACAGGCAGATGACCAGCAAAGGGCCGAAGAAACCCAGCACCGAGGTGTAGATGATGAACGCCGCCGACCAGACGTTGACCGGCTCCGGCCAGTTCATGTTGCACGTCTGGAAGTCCTCCTGCACGTCCGAGAAGATGATCACGGGCAGCACCACCAAGAAGGAGAAGGTCCAAACGGTGGCACTGATGAGCTTGGCCACCCTGGGGCGTCTCCACTTGGTGGATTTGATGGGGTGCACCACGGCCAGGTAGCGGTCCATGCTCATCACCGTCAGGCAGAAGATGCTGGTGAACTGGTTGATGCCGTCCACGGTCATCACCAGCCGGCAGAGGAAGGAGCCGAAGGGCCAGTAGGAGATGGCGTTTTGGGTGGCCAGGAAGGGCAGGCCCAGCATGAAGAGCACGTCGGCCACGGCCAGGTTGAGGATGTAGATGTTGGTGACCGTTTTCATCTTGGCGTGGCGCAGCACCACGTAGATGACCAGGGCGTTGCCGCTCAGCCCCACGGCGCACACCAGCAGGTAGCAGATGGGAATGAGCACCTTGTGGATGTACTGGAACGGCGGCGGCTCCGCCAGCGTCCCGTTCTCTGTCGCGTTGGGCAGCAGGGAGGAGTTCGCCTCGCCGGGAGCGGCTTCCATGCTGAACGTGCTGGAAAAGTACAGGGGATCCATGGGGTTTTGTTTTCTCTCCGTGGCTTTTCCTCTTAGGAGAGATTAAACTTCACGGGCATCTTGTTCCTGGAAGGAAAATTCAAAATTCGAAAAGTCAAATTTCAAAAATTCAAAAATTCAAAACTTCAGAAATTCAAAAATTAAAAAAAAATTTAAATTCAAGGAAAAGAGAGACAGGACTTTTACAAAGTGGACTTTTACAATCACTTCCATTTTCTCTTCTATTCAGGATTTGGGGTTGGATTACTGAGACAAGGAGTAGGATGGGATCAATGCCCAACAAAGGAATTGCACAATGGGAGAATCCCCATGCTCATCCCAGTGCTCATCCCAGCAGATCCCAGGTTCTGTTTCCTTTTCACAGGATCCAGGGCTGGGTGAAGCTGTGACGGATTTTTCCCTGTGAGGGTGGAGAGGCTCTGGAACAGAATTCCCAGAGAAGCTGTGGCTGCCCCATCCCAGCAACTGTCCAAGGCTTGGTTGGACGGGGCTTGGAGCAACCTGGGATAGAGGAAGGTGATGGGGCTGGAACTGGGATCAGGGGAGGAAGTAAAACTTTCCATAACAATGGAAAACCCTTGGAAAAAAATCCCTGAGCTCCAAGACAGAAAGGATCATGTCTGAGATCTTCCCCACCAGGTCAGGGCGTGTGCACAGAGAAGGGAAGGAATAAACTCCTTTTTTCCATCTCTCACAATTAATATTTGTGTTCCCACATCCTCTCCTCTCACCCTGAACTGCTTTTTATCCCAAAAATTCCCTTTTCTTGCAGGAAATCCAAGCTGCAGTGGGCAGCTCCAGGACAACTGAGCAGATTTGAAGCTGGAATAAATTTTTCCAGCCATTCTGAAAAAGGTGGAGAATTTCCAACACCCCTTTCCTGTAGCGAGCTTGATTCCCAGGAATATTTTTCCACCTTTTTGTCAGAGTGAGGTTCAGTTTATCAGGTGGAGAAACTTGGGAACATCATATTAAAAAATGGAGACTTAAAGCACCAAATCCCACAGCAAATCCTGGTGAAGGTGGAAGAAACACCCAGCAATTTTTGCTGCCATCACCTGACGATCCCACAATAATCCGGGGGTTTGGATCTGGAATCACAAACAGCCAGCCCACAGCCCTGCAAAAACTCCTTGTCTCCAGGAGCAATCCGAAACCACCTCCATCAGCGGCTGGGCTTTCTCCTGGGGTGAGAAAACCTGGGGGAGAGGAGGAGCCCCTGCAGCTCCCGGGAGGAATCACAAATGTGCCGAGCTGCTTTGGGAATGTGCAGATGGGGAGTAGGTGTCTCACGTGGCTGGGTGGAGATGCACCGGGGAAATCGGGAGTGCAGGGAGAGCTGAGGGAGCTGCTGGAGCTCCGGGGGGGTGGGGATGGGGCAGCAGGAGCTGGATGTGCTGCTGGAATGGTTGGGGTTTAGGTGTTGGGAGCATCCCTGCCATTCCCAACATCCCGCTGCAGGCAGAGGTCAGCCGAGCTGCTCATAAATGAAACAGGAGTGGGTCAGGGCCTGGGTAAAACAGCACAGCAAAAGCCCAGTTCTGGCTGAAAAAGTGGAATTTTAAATCCTGACCTCCAACCTGTTTTGAATTCCTGAGCTGTAGCAAACCTCAGGTTATTTATGGGGGAATTCTGGGAGAAGCCGAAGCTGGGACCCCTCATTCTCAGCTGGGAGGGGTTTGGAAATTCCCATTTTCCTGCTGTGACCCCACTGGGATCACTGAAGGGAAGGACAGGCAGGAAAAATACATGGGATCGGTCAGGAAGGGTTTATAAACTCATATCCATGGAGCTGCATCCTTGGGATTGGGAATGTTCTTCCCAGACAAGCTCGGCACATCCAGGCTGGGCCCAAAAAACCCAAATTTCCACCTGAGCCTGGGAAAAATTAGAAGGCAGGGAAAGAAGCAGTGCTGGAGCTCAGCAGGGAAGGTCAGGAGGGGCAGGCAAGTGTGGCTCATCCTCTAAAAAATGGAAAAGGACACATTTTCCAAAGTCTCTTTTCCACAGTGCACATCCTTGGATTCAGGACTGGAGGAATTACACAATAACTTCAGTCCTGGTCCTTTCAGCGCCTTTGGAGCTCAGGCCTTGGAAAGAGGAGCTTTTTTCTTTGGATAATTCCCATTTCTTCTCCCCCTGGAGAAATCCTCCAGCCCCAAATCCCTGTTTGCAGAGGGCCTCGGGCTCTCCCAGCCGTCCATTGGCATTCCAGGGGTTTTCAAAAGGACTTGGGTGTGTTTTCCATGGAGAGGGGTGGGATTTTTGATTGTTTTGTGGATTTTTGGATTTATTTTTTGGATTTTCCAACAGAGAGGAACTTCCAGGCTCCCTCAGCAGCCAGACTTCTCCTGGAGTCAGGGACACTTTGTCTCCTCAGCGTTTTGGGGCTCTTCCTGTGGGTTTGTGGGAATATTCACCTTTCCCTTGCGATTTTTGTTCCGTGGGATGAACTGTACAACATTCCCTGTCATACGGAGAGGATTGGGAAGGGAATCCCAGAACCCTGGAACGCTTTGGGTCAGAAGGGCCTCCCAATATCCCCGATTGCTCCCGCCTGGATGTGGACAATTCCAGGGATGTCCCAGTGCATTTCCTGAGGGAAAATCCATTTCCTAGGGCTCTGCTGCAATTCCTTCCAACTCTTTCCTGCTGTTTTCAGCACCAGGAAGGAATTTACTCCACCTGGACATTCCCCATTCCCAGGATTTGACGTCCCAAAGTCCCCCAGATCTGCAATCCAAACCCAGATCCCCATCCCACAATTGCCTCCCTCAGCCTTTGCCTTGCGGCCACCACAATTCTGGGATTTTTCCTGGAAAAAAACCCTGACCAGCTGCAAATCCATGTTTTCCTGGCTGCCTTGGAGGAGCACAGGGAATTTTATCCAGGTGACAATTTGTCCCTCACCAGCGCGATTTGGCCTCAGCTCCTTTTGTCACCACGACCCTGAACCTCCACAAAGGCTGATTAAAGACGATGATTAAAGGTAATTAAGAGGAGCTGATTGATCCCTCATAGCCTTGTTTGTTGTTCTTAATTAAGGGATTAATAACAAACACGCCTCCAGGGGATTTCCTCTCATCCAGCTTTTCTTCTCTTTGATTTCCGAGCCCCCACCCTGGGATTGTCCATAAATTTTGGGTTTTCTGCTTAAAATTGAGGAGCTGGGAATGTAGACCTGTAATAATCACTGACAGAATTCCAAGTTTTAACAGAGCACCATCCAGGAAAAAAAAATCAGCATCCACAGCAGCTGAATATATCTCTGTCCCTGCTTCCCAAAAAACTTCGGGGAATAAATAGCAGAGGTGTTATGGTGCTAGAATTTCACATTTGTGAAAACTCCTAAATAAACCTGGGTGAAAAAAAGCCAAGAATTAACAGAACAGCGAGTGAAAAATCGTCCCGACCTAAGGAAAAACAAACGTTTAAAATGGAATTAAAATTTTTAATTTAAAATTAAAAATGCTCAGACAGATCAAGGCTGAAGTTTTCCCTGGGCTCTGGTCACAGCAGGAAAGCAAAAATAACTCCATGGAGAACATTGCATGAGAGTGGGGCAGGGCTCAGGCAGGAATTGCAGGAATTAAACCTGATTTTCCAAGCTGGATTGGATCCTGCTGCCTGTTTGCCTCTGGAATCATCACTCTCTCATCCACGATAATTGCTGGGAATGGAATTACAGCACCAGCAGGGCAGATTGCTGCTTCCAGCAGCAGGATAATTAGGGATAACACAGCCAGTGGGAATCCAGGCTTTTCGAACTGTCTTGGGAGGAAAAGCACCCGGAGAACTCTCCAGGAATTGTCTCCCGGCAGCAGAGCTCCCATCCCGTGGAGCTGGCTGCAATAAATCCCTGGGATTTTCATCTTTTCATCATTTCCATGGCTTGGAGCTCAGTGTCCATCACCTGCTGCTCCCCAGAGAGCCGTGGGGGCTCGTTCCTGGGTTTGGGGGATGGAGCAGGCAGGAGAGGCCTGGCAGTGCAGCTCTGGGATAACTCAGAATCCCGGGAAACTGGGTGGGAGCAGCAGGGAAATAAATGCAGCATCACCCCGAGAGCTGCCTCAGCTCTGAGGGATGAAAATGTTCTGTACAATGCAGCAGAGACACCTTTGGTGTCCCATTCCCACCACCTGGAGTTTAAAAAAATGAAGGAATCCTTCAGATTCTCCCAAAAAGGAATTTTCTTCTTGGACAAATCTGCCTTTGATGCTTCTCAGGGGGAGTTTGTTACCCCCAAAAAACAAATTATGGATTTTTCTCTGCTGAAAACAAAACTTTCTCACCTGAAATTGCTCCTCTGCTTCCACTCTCTGAATTGGGACTAAACCAATCGGCTGAACTCCGAGTTCAACAACTTCTTCCCACTTTTAACCCTAAAAAATCTTTTTAAAATGTATATTTGTCACCACCTGGTTATCCCTCAGCTCATCCCAGGGTTTCCCAGAGCACCTGAGAAGCTGCTCCGATTTTTAGGAGCAAACAACTCATGAAACAACTCATAAACCCAAATCTTTGCTGAATCCTTTTTTTCCTCCCCAAACACGTTTAAGTCGTGCTCAGGGATTACTCACTGGGGCTGAGCTGCTCCTGCCTCACCAACACTCGTGGAAAGCAAATCCTGCTGGGTTTGCTCCCAGGTTTAAACTGGGTTTGCTCCCAGATTTAAACTGGGTTTGGTCCCGAATTTAAGATGGGTTTGCTGCCGAATTTAAGGTAGGTTTCCTCTTGGATTTAAGGTGGGTTTGCTCCCAGATTTAAGATGCATTTGCACCTGAATTTAAACTGGGTTTCATGCCAGATTTAAGATGTGTTTGCTCCCAGGTTTAAACTGGGTTTTCTCCCACATTTAAATTTGGTTTGGTCCCAGATTTAAGCTGGGTTTCCTTCCAGAATTAAACTGGGTTTGCTCCTGGATTTAAACTGGGTTTGCTTCCTGATTTAAGATGGGTTTACTCCCGAATTTAAGGCGCGCTTGCTCCCGAATTTAAGGTGGGTCTGCTCCTGAATTTAAGGCAGGTTTGCTCCCAGATTTAAGATGGGTTTGCTCCCAGATTTAAACTGGGTTTGCTCCTGGATTTAAACTGGGTTTGTTCCCGAATTTAAAGCGGGTTTGCTCCCAGATTTAAGATGGGTTTTCTCCCAGATTTAAACTGGGTTTGCTCCTGGATTTAAACTGGGTTTGCTCCCGAATTTAAGGCTGGGTTTGCTCCCAGATTTAAGATAGGTTTTCTCCCAGATTTAAACTGGGTTTGCTCCTGGATTTAAACTGGGTTTGGCCCCAGATTTAAGGCTGGGTTTGCTCCAGGCAGAGCAAGGTGTGCAGCTCCATCTCTGCTCCCCCGCCGGGCAGCGGGGCTGGGGTGCAGCTCCCAAACCGGCCCCAGCTCCAGCACCTCCCCAAACCCCGGGGGTTTTCCCAAAGGTTTCTGTTCCTCCCTTCCCCTCTGCAGTCCAGGGACACGCGGAGGTTTCAGGGATGTTCCAGATGGGTGCAGGAGCGTTAATTCCAGCCTGAGGGAGAGCAGGAACAGCCCCGGGCCCCGTGGTGGAAGGAGCTCAGGAGCAGCAGCTCCGGGGGCAAATTCCAGGATCTGGGGTGTCTTTGGGATCCATCTGCCTTGGATACAGCTCCACTGCAGCACCGAGCCCTGCGGGCTGTCCCCAGGAGCTGGGGGTCCCTCAAGCACCCCCAGACTCATCCCAGCACCCCGGGAGCAGCTGTGGGGCTCACCCGGGGGTCTCCTCCTCCTCCCCAGAGCTACAAAAACTCTCTGCCTGAGCCCAAACCGCTTGAACCCGGCTCTTCCTGAGCCCGGCTCTTTCTGAGCCCGGCTCTTCTTTCCCTGCTCTGGGCTCGGGGGCTGGGGGCTGCAGGGAGCCAGCCCAGGGTCAGCCGGAGCTGCTCCCAGCCCGGCCCCCGATGTCACCTTGGCCCGACCCCCCCGATGTCACCGTGACCTTGACATCTGCTCGCTGTCCCCCTGGAGCAGCTGCCCCCCCTGCTCTCCCTGCCGTGTGTCACCCCAGGGCTCTGTCACAGCCCCGGGTGACAGCGGCCCCGGGCTGTGCCCGCTGGTGCCTTCGCGTCCCTTCAGCTCCAGAGCCGCGCTCAGGCTGCTCCGGCTTCAAACGCGGCATTCCCCACGGCCGGGGTCCCTCCCGGGCAGCCCCAGCCAGGATTGTCACCCCACTGCCCACAGGGTCCCCTCTTGTCATCCTCCAGCCAGGATTGTCATCCCAGTGCCCAGAGGGTCCCTCCTTGTCATCCTCCCGGCCGGGATTGTCACCCCACATCCCAGAGGGTCCCTCCTTGTCATCCTCCAGCCAGGATTGTCACCCCACTGCCCAGAGGGTCCCCTCTTGTCATCCTCCAGCCAGGATTGTCACCCCACTGCCCAAAGGATCCCTCTCCAGCATCCCCACCAGGACGGGAGGGTGACCAGGTGACCAGGAGGGGTCACCCCCCTGCCCAGAGCGTCCCCTCGCCATCCCCCAGCCAGGATGGAGTCACTCCAGCACCAACCCCCCCCTCAGAAATGCAAATTCGGTGTCTCCACGAGCGGCACCGGCGGCTCCGGTGGTTCCCATCGAGCCCCCAAGCGGGGTGCGCCCCGCGGGCCCCCCCCTGCCCCGTGCCCGTGCTCCCCGCAGCCATCGCTGCCGCTCCCCGCATCCCGGCTCGCCGCTCCCGCATCCCGGCCGTGCTCACCTGCGGCTCCAGGGCTGCTCTCCCGGAGCAGAGCCTGCCGCTCCCGCAGCCGCGCCGGGAGCGCTCCCCGCGCTGGCCGCTCCCCCGGGAGGAGCCAGGGGGCCCGGAGGGGCCGGGGGTGCCGCAGCCCCGGGGCCGCCCCCTGCTCGGCAGCTCGGGCTGGATGGAGCTGGGGGCGGCTGCTGCGGGCAGCGGGAGCGCTGGGCAGGGAGGCTGTGCCCGCCGGTGCCCCCGCGAGTGTGCGCGTGTGTGTGTGTGTTCCACCTGCGAGTGTGTGTGTGTGCCAACCCCGTGTGTGAGTGTGTGCCAACCCCGTGTGAGTGTGTGCCAACCCCGTGTGTGTGAGTGCCACCCCCCCGTGTGTGTGTGCCACCCCCCCGTGTGTCTGTGCCACCTGCGGGTGTGTGTGTGCCACCCCCCGTGTGTGTGCCACCTCTTCTTGTCTGTCCCCTTTCCCATGTCTGTGCCACCTCCCCATGCCTGTGTCCCCATCCCTTCCCCACTCCCCCATCCCTGTGCTCCTGTCCTTATGCTTGGTCCCCTGTCTCTGTTCCCCCTGCCCATCCCTGTTCCCTCATTCCCATCCCCATTCCCCATCCCCTTCCCTGTTCCCCATCCCCATTCCTCTTCCCCCATCCCTGTCCCTCCATTCCTGTCCCTCCATCCCCGTTCTCCATCCCCATCCCTGTCCCCCATCCCCATCCCCATCCCCGTTCTCCATCCCCATTCCTCTTTCCCCATCCCTGTTCCTCCATCCCCGTCCCTGTCCCTCCATCCCCATTCCTATTCCTCCATCCCCGTCCCCCATCCCCATCCCTGTCCTCGTTCCCCATCCCGGGCTGTCCTCACCCGGCTCTGCCGCTCCCGGGGCTGAGCCAGATTGGGAAGAGCCGCATTTCCCCCGGCTCCATCTCCTGTCCAACCCCGATAATTCCTCCAAAGCTTCCCGCAGGCTGGGAGCGAGCCCCTCCCGACCCCCCAAGGGGGCAGCCGAGCCCAGGCTGCGTTTGGGGACAGCGTTTGGGGACAGCGTTTGGGGACAGTGTTTGGGGACAGCGTTTGGGGGGCTTTGGCACCTGCGGGGCTCTGGTTTCTCGCGTTTGGGGACAGCGTTTGGGGACAGCGTTTGGGGACAGCGTTTGGGGGGCTCTGGCACCTGCGGGGCTCTGGTTTCTTGCCCTGTCCCTGGGCAGAAGCACAGCCCGAGTGCCAAGGACACATCGAGCGTCTCCCCGGAGAGCGCGATCCCATGTGGGGAGGTTTTCCTCCAGCTGGCTCCGAGTCAGGCCCTAAAATCGCTCCTGGAGGGAAGATGGGGGCTGAAAATCCAGCAGCGAGGGGAGCCCGGTGTTGGGTTCACCCCCTCCTAAACTCCCCGGGGTGCTGCTGGGCAGGAAGAGGTTGAAGTATTTGGGATTTTGAGTATTTTGCGATGCAACAAGTGCGATAAAAGTGAGGCAGAGCTCTCCCCCCTCCTCCCCGCACCCTCCCTGTGCTGTCACATATTCAAACCTCACTCCCAGCATCACCTCGAGTGTTTTCTCCCCACTTTCTGGGCAGGCTGGGGGGCTCAGAGCAGCCCCGAGCTCAGCCCCTCCTCATCAGCATGCACAGAGCATCGCGCTCATAATAATGGATCTGATCTTAATCCTCTGCTGAGGCTTTTCAATTAGAGCCGGGTGCTTGAGTCAGACGTGTGAACACGGGGGAAAAAAAGCGAGGCAGAGCTGCTGCTGGCATGTCAGGCTGGAATTCAATCTGCTGATGTATTTATGGGCATGGGTTGCTAAATGCGAGTGAGACTCCAGCCTGCTCTCGCCATGACAATGGGAAGAGTCATCTGATAAAAATAGAATTTGGCATGATAAACAGGCAAGCAGAGGAGCTTCGGATCACCTGCTCGGCAAACACGCCCAGAAAATGCCCACAATTTATTGCCCAGCAGTGATCCCGCCAGGAATGACAGCTTGAAGCCAAATGGGGTTAATTTAAAGGAATTACCTTTATTTTATTAGAATTTATTGGCGGTTTGTGCTAGGGAAAATGTTGCTGGATAAACACGGTGGTGCCTAAGTTGCCCTGAAGAAAGCAGCACTTTTCCTGTAAATAAACACTGGGAAAAGAGGAATTTTACTGGGATCTGTGCAGGGAGAAGGGCAGGATTTTCAAAAGCTCTCCAGGCTGGTTAAATTCTTTACCCACTTGAGCCAACAGCGCCGTGTTGGGGCTGGATGGAGGGAACACAAAGCCTGGGAGAGCATTCCCTGCAATCCTGATTTCTGTGCCTGATTCCCCTGGGCAAAGAGCAGAGGGCAAAGAGCTCCTGGCATGGGTGGCACAGAGACCTTTGGTGGCACAGGGCACAGCCCCCCACAGGGATGGGAGGGTTTCTTTTCTTTTGAATTTTTCTGTCTCTCCTTTTGCTGGATGGAATATTTGATGATCCGCGCGCCTGGGACATTTTTTACGTTGACATTGCGGAGAGGAAGGAGAGCTGAGGCGGAGATAAAAGCCTCAAAATGAGGGATTTGGGCTGGTTCTGCTCCTTGTGCGTGTCCTCGTGGCTGTGAAGGACAATGGGATGGTGGGGTGTGTGGGGAAGAGCGTTCCCAGCAGGACAAGGAGTGACCCTGCCCCTCTGGGTGCTGTGTCCAGCTCTGGGTCCCGGCACAGAGGGGACAGGAGCTCCTGGGGGGCTGTGAGGATGAGGAAGGGCTGGAGCAGCTCCGTGCCCAGGAAAGGCTGGGGGAGCTGGGGCTGCTCTGCCTGGAGAGGAGCCCCAGCTGAGAGGAGCCACAGCCCTGGCTGTCCCTGGGTGTTCCTGGTTGTCCCTGGGTGTCCCTCTGCATCCTTGGGTGGCCCTGGGTGTCTCTGTGTGTCCTTGGGTGGTCCTGTCTGTCCCTTGGGTGTCTCTGTGTGTCCCTGTGTGTCCCCATGGGTTCCTGGGTATCCCATACATCCCTGTGTGTCTCTGGATGTCCCTGTCTGTCCTTGGGTGGCCTCGTCTGTTCCTGGTGTCCCTGGGTCTCTCTGGGTGTCCTTGGGTGTCCCCAGGTGTCCCTGTCTATTTCTGGATATCCCTGGGTGTCCCATGGATTTCTGGGTGTCTCTGGGTGTCCCTGTCTGGCCTTGGATGTCCCTGGGTATCCTCACGTGTCCCTGTCTGTTCCTGGGTGTCCCTGGGTGTCCCCATGGTTTTCTGGGTGTCCCCGGGTGACCCTGTCCTGCAGGGAGGGCTCTGCTCCAGAGGAACAGGCAGGGACTGGTCCCAGGAATCCCCCCTGAACTTCTGCCCAGCCCTGAGCAGATCCCACAGAGGGTGTGGATCTCTCTCTTGGGGATATTCCCGAATTTCAGGATGTGATCCCACTCTGGGATGACCCCCGTGCTCCCTCCCAGCCTGCCCCATCCCAGGATTCCATGATCCATGTCCAAACCCCTCCCAAATCCCCCTCATTCTGTTCCAAGCCTCCTCACTCCATCCCACCCAGCAATTCCATGTCCTGGCACGATCCCTGGCTGGGTTTTTCCCCGGGAATGCTGAGGATGGGGAAATGCTGCCACACGTCCTGGCACCATCCCAGCCCAACTCCTGCGGGAGTGACACGGGGGAGCTGCAGGGACAGGGCTCGGGAGGCTCCTCCTGCCTTTGGAATCTGGCTGAGGCAGCACGGATGAGCTGCATCCCTGTTTTTAGAAGGAAAAACTCCTGGAGAAACTTGTGGCAGCAGCTTCTCCCAGTGGAGATTGGCATTAATGAATGAGGGGTGTGGAATCACCTCCAGGAGAGATTCGGGTCCAAGCCTGGCTGGAATTGGATGGGAATGTTGGAATTGGATGGAATGTTGGAATTGGATGGGAATGTTGGAATTGGATGGAAATGTTGGAATTGGATGGGAATGTTGGAATTGGGTGGAAATTCTGGATTGGATGGAAATGTTGGAATTGAGTGGAAATGTTTGAATTGGATGGAAATGTTGGAATTGGATGGAAATTCTGGATTGGATGGAAATGCTGGAATTGGGTGGAAATGCTGGAATTGCATGGAAATGTTTGAATTGGATGGAAATGTTGGAATTGGGTGGAAATGCTGGAATTGGATGAAAATGCTGGAATTGGATGGAAATGTTGGGATTGGATGGAAATGTTGGAATTGGGTGGAAATGTTGGAAATGTTGGAATTGGGTGGAAATTCTGGATTGGATGGAAATGCTGGAATTGCATGGAAAGGTTGGGATTGGATGGGAATGTTGGAATTGGGTGGAAATGCTGGAATTGGATGGAAATGTTGGAATTAGATGGGAATGCTGGAGTTGGAGCTCACTCTGACTGGAATAGGCAAATCAAGATCCTTTTAAACCTCAGAACAGCAGAGGGACCGAGGAGCAGAAGGTCCTTGGGTTGCTCCCAGTTTTTGGAGCCTTTGCTCCGCAAATGGATGGGATGGGAAGGATTTGATGCAGAATTTTCACATCCAGCAGAGGAAAAGGGTCAAAGCCAGTGGAAGGAGTGTGGAAATGAGGGAAAACCTGCAGAGCTTGGCTAAGTTGGGAATCAACCGAATCAAAACCCTCCCAAGTGGTGAAGGGGCAGCTTTATTTTAAAAAATCGAGTTGGAGGCTTTGGAAAAGAGGGAAGCAGTTCCTGCTTACACAGAGGGCTGGGGCTGGAGATTTGTCCTCTCCTCATTCCCACAAAATTCCCTGAAGTGCAGGAGGGCCTTGGGAAGATCCCAATCCCAGCCAGACCCAGCATTTCCAGTCAATGTGAGACTCAATCCCAACTCCTGAGGAACCATCCCAGCCTTTGCCTGGAATTCCCACCACGCTTTCCTCTAAGGATTTTAAATTCTGATTTTTAACTTGACTTGGCCTGAGAAAAAGGAGATGAAGGGGATAAGAGCTCTGGATATTGCTGGGGAAATCATGGATCAGAGCGGAAATCATCACTTGGAGTTTCCAAAGGCAGCTGAGATTTAGGCTCTGGTGAGCCCTCAGTTATTCCTGTTGCCATAGAAATAAATGGATGTGTTTGCTGCTGCTCCCTGCTCCAGAGATATCCACAGATATCCATCACCACCTCCAGCCACAGCGCTTGGTTCCCAGGTTTTCCTTCTCCCAGGAATTCCACGTGCAGCAGGAAGATTTATTTTTATTTTTCTGTTTATTTTAAATTTTTATTTAAATAGTAATTTTTTCAAAAAATTTAATTGTATTTCTAATTTTTATTTTAATTTTTATTTCTGTATTTTAATTTTAATTTT